CTTCCAGGTGGTTTCATTTTTAGACTATTTCAGTGGTGGGATTCAAATTTTTTTACTACCTGTTCTGTGGGCGTGGCTTAGTGGGCATGGCAGGGAAAGGATACTGTAAAATCGCCATTCTCTCCCCACTCCAGAGGAAGGTCCCGGTCAGCTGGGACCCGGGAGGCAGAGAATAGATGGGGGCAGGTGGGACCAGTCAGAAGTGGTATTTACCAGTTCTCTGAACTACTCAAAATTTCCGCTACCAGTTCTCCAGAACTGGTCAAAACCTGCTGAATGCCACCTCTGGACTATTTCTCCTAATTGTCCATAAACCAATTTGAAGCTGATGTTTAATTTTTTACTACTCTTTGGCGCTGAACTTCTGGGAGCAGATGGGGAATACCAGGAGCCAACCAGATCTCTCTCTAGCTGATCAATACTAGGAATTAAAAATTAAATATGAATAACATGTCATCAATGTTCCCCCACAAAGATGTGCAGTCAGACCTCAAATATATACCAGCCTTTTAATGTAGACCAGATTAGGAATCCGGAATTATAAATTCTAATATTATTTTTATTATAAGGTTACAGTAAAAAAGTTTTCAAGACTGATTCCCTCAGTTTATTTTCCTGAGAATTACAGTCATATCTAAGGTACTTTCTCAAATTGCATTTTGCCAGGGCTCAGATTTCTCTTATCTAATTGTTACCTTGGTTGTCTTCCTCCTCCTGTTTTTCAACATTATTCAAACTTCGGATTATACCATGTTTTCAAGCATAAGTGCATAAAACAAAAATCGTGTTGCTTTTATTACAAAAAGGAACATTACATTTCAGAAGCCCTTCCCATTCCTGGTTGGTTACATCTCAACAGAAACGAAACAAAAACAGTTTGGATGTTTTGCTAACAAGAAAAGGGGATATCTTGGTCTACAGAAATTAAGAGAACGTTTGGATAACAACAAAAGGTGCAGAAAACAATAACTCCTTGTTACCTTGACGATACCTCCCACGTAACAGACATCTGGAAACTAGCCCTAATTAACAAACAAGCCCCACCCACCACCCAGGTCATTACCACACGAAACAACAATGGACACACAGTCAGCACCAATCTACCAATCATGATACAACCACACAACCAATCATTCCACTTACTGAAACAAAGCCAGCACTCCACATCCACCCACCAAGATTTATAGAGAGTTGGCAGCTCCGATTACACTTTAAGCCCAAAACCCAGCCTGAAGATACCGAGTGAGACCTCGCTGAAATGTTGCCAAGACAATCTCAATCTTACATGGGAAAAGACCCGAATACAACAAGACCAGCATTTATTTATTCATATATATGTGTGTGTGTGTGTGTGTGTGTGTGCGTGTTTATTTGTGCTGATAAATAAATAAATAAAAATAAATAAATAAATCAGCACAAATAAAAACACAAATACAACAAAGGCAACAGTAAAAATATTGGGTTTCTGTCGTGATGGACTCTTGATGGACTCTTGTGGTTGTGACATATATATATATACACACATATATACACACACACACACACACACACACACACACACACACACACACACACAGATCCAGAAATATATCATACTGAGTTGAGAGATTTTAGGCACTGAAGTCTAACTCATGGAAAAGACACGTAATAGAGAAAGCTTCTGTAATATGAGATAGATTTTCTGAAACTATTATCAGAAAGAAGGCCTAACTTAGAAGTTCTCATTTGACATCATTAATCCTAACATAAACAGTTGATTGGTACTAAAATGAAAGCCTAAAAATGAATCACCTTGAGGTGATGTACCCCTTTAATGCCAACTGAAATCTCGTTTCTCCAAAGGTTTAATTTGAGTTGAAAAAGAAAAATGAACACATTCATCACTATTTGTAATATTGTTGTGAATTTCTACTGGTGCTACTTGAGGAGTTTCTTCTCCAGCTGCACAGCTGATGTTTCAATAGCCAGAAATGAATTAGGGAAACTGTATCTCCAAACAATTGAAATATAGCAAGAAGTGGTCTATCTGGAAAAGAAATGTGTTTTGTTTAAAATCCTGACTTTCTCATCACTTTTCCCTCACTGGTGCTCTTTTTCCACAAACAATTTCTTGTGTTGTTACCATTCATCACCAATGCTTACATAAGTTGAAAGGCAACCTTATGGAGTTTGCAGAATTGTAGATTAGAGCAATGTGTAAATATTGTTATTTATTCCTCCTGGGTCACTCTCCTGATATACTACCATTGCAAATTTACTCTTACTCTTCCCCTCCTTGCTTTATTTTACTTTGCTTTTCCATTATTTGGCTCTGAGATATTAGGGATAGGAAAAGAAGCATTTTAATTTTTTTGGCCCAGCACTGTCCTTCAGCAGTGCCAATAGGGTGTCTGAAGACTGTCTGTGATCCTTTGGTTACCCAACACTTGGACTACAGAAATAGTTTTCTCCCTGCTTCTGTGTTACAGCTCTCAACTTTCTAATATCACATGCAGCTGTTCTGTCCTGCCCTATATTTTCCCCACACCTTCTAGATCCGTGATGGCAAACCTGTGGCACGTGGAGCCATTTATTAGGGCATGTGTGGTGTTGCCCTGCCAGCTCCAGCATGCCAACTGACTTTGGCCTTCATTTTTGGCCATTTTTCACCCTCCTAAGGCTTCCCTGAAGCGTGTGTGTGTGTGTGTGTGTGTGTGTGTGTGCGCGCACGCATGGGGGGGTTGTGTGCATAGCATTATGAGTGTGGGCACACCCATACACAACCTCTCCCCCTGCGTTCCCCCTGCTTTTGGCACGTGATGGCAAAATGATTAGTCATCACTGTTCTAGATAGATAGAACAACTTTATTGTCACTTTGAATGTATACTAATCCAGTGTTTTTCAACCACTGTGCCGCGGCACACTAGTGTGCCGTGACATAGTGTAAGGTGTGCCGTGGGAAAATTACTTTATATATAGTCAATATAGGCACAGAGTTAAAAATTTTTAACATTTTCTAATGGTGGTGTGCCTCGTGATTTTTTTCATGAAAAAAGTGTGCCTTTGCACAAAAAAGGTTGAAAAACACTGTCAGCATACATTAAAATGAAATGTCATTGCATACAACTCTCAAAGGTTCACTGCTTCCAATATACACTACATAAACATGATAAAATACATACATACATACACGCACGCATGCACACACACACACATACATACACATATATCCTCATATATATCACAGAGAAACAACAGAGTTTAGTTTGGATGTATGCATGTATATGGTAAGAAAAATGAAACTTGCGAGTTTACCAGACAGATGGCATAGGGAACAAAGCTGTTATGGAATCAGGTAGTCCTGCTGGAAATACTTCAAAACCTCCTCCCAGAGGGAAGCAACAGAAGTGTTCTATTGTGTTAATGTTTCTGTTTTTAAACATTCTATTTAAACATACTGCTTTTGGCCATCTCAAGGTCAAACATATCATGGGGGATTCAGGTGTCTTGAATTTACAGACAACAGTCCATTCAATGTAACCCATTATATCAACACAAAAGAGTCAAACAAGTTAAGATGATAGCAATGATGGTACAATCAAAATTTCACAGTTTGTCCAGCACACAAAAAGGCAGAGATTCAATTATACTATTGCAATCACCATGATAGCATTTTTTAACATTCCTTAAGGACAACCCTAAACAAAACTGACATGTATTTATAATTGATTCTTAATTTAAGAAGCTTCATAGAAGTATATGGGTACAGCAACAGTACATACCTGAGATAATCCTTGAATTCCCAAACACTACATGCTTAGATGGCACAGTTCTGCAAATAACACTAAGGGAAAATATCCATTTGAATAGGTCTCATAATTTTGGATGAATCTCATAACTGTAACACAAGACTGAGCACAATATTATATGGTATATGGAATAAATTACTTGATGAACAACTATTATGAAAAAAGGACAGCAATCTTATTACATACTCTATATTAAATGTATGTCAAATTTTATATACTCAATGACTTTTCATTTATTCATCCTCTAGTCCTAGGAAGGTGAAAATGGAAAGAAAAGACATTGCTCCCATTCACTCTCATCTACAGATCATTGAGATGACTTTTTTCCTATCAGTATTTGTGTAAGGAAAGGCGGAATTGCAGCCACAAGGTATTTTTGAACTTTCAAAATCCCTGAGTATTTCTTTTGTTAGCTAAAGCTAAGGGGGTTTGGAGTGCATAAAAATCAGGAAAATTCTTGGCAAAGCTTCGGCTATACTGTCCATCAGGGAAACTGATAGTCACCTCCCACTATATCAATAAGTGTTTAGAAAGATGACCAAGAAGTCTCTATTTGGATGCTAAAGTAAATATGACTAGTTACCAAGATTCCAGTGACTTTCCCCTTTTCAATACATTTGGTCGAAGAAGATTTTGTGAGAATCTTGCACTTTTTGTTATAAATAGCTCAATATCCCAATTCTTTCTAAATTTCCTACCAGTTTAAACATTTAAATATCTCTTAACTCCATGTTTTCTTTACAGGGTGACTTTTATTGTTATATTAATGAACAAAGATCTGCTGTCTTCATAGATTTCATCTTTATATTTTTTATCAGATGTTTATTCTAGGCATTGGGTTTGGACAAAAAGAATATCCAACCCTTTGGCTTTTGTAGTAGATATTCTACTACAAAAATAGGAATATAAAGCAAAAAGCAAAAATAACTTAGGGAAACCATCCAGAGTACTGGAATTCTTTCAAACTCCTTATTAACAGCTCTGCTTTAGATCATAAAGGACTTCCATTGGAGGAAAAAATAATCTGAGCCAATTGCATCTGCCATATGAATGCACTGGGGGACTTTTCTTCATCTTTTGCCTACTCAGGTCATTTCGAAACATCATATTTTGTTGGCTTTTTCAACCATATCAGCACTGGTCCCCTATTCAGATTGAACAGAGTTCTATTTAATGCATAAATATCCAAGACAAATAAGAAGGTGCTTGAATAGGTTTTCAACAATTTAATAAATATTCTGGCACCAAATTTCTACTCTGGAATACAGACCTTTGAGGAAACAAACAAAAATAAATTTAAAACTGTACATTCAGTAACATAACTAAATTCCAGTATAAAGCTAGATTTAAAAGATTTACCACACAAAAGAGAGACAGAAAAGTTCCTAGAACAATAAGACAAAACAATTATTCCACTCCAATTTTGTAGCCTCATGCCTGTTGCCTCTTTAAATAACTAAGAGAGTTTATCTACTAACTGGATGTAATGTTACACAGAACAGAGAAGGCATTCAGAATGCAATAAAGTAGCACGTAGGCACTACCATGGTCTGCAAGTTCTTATCCACCTTCTTAAACAACAGGAGACCAAGATTGGGTTTGCCGTCTTTGAAGCTAGTAGCTAAAGAACAATTATGTGCTGCAAACTAACATATCTGCAAAGGGCCCAAGGAGATTTTTGTTGAAAATGCATCGGATCCACACTAGATAGTTTGTGAACGGCTTAATGTTGTCTGAAAATGTATGGTTTTGGTGGGACAAAATGTAAGGCATGTATGTATTTTCTCCTTGCTCCTGAATCCAAACTTCGTATTTTACTTCTCTGACCTTCAAGTATTTCAGGTTCCAAGGGATCTGCCAAGATACAGAGAGCTTAGCTTCACTGGTACCCTGGATAGAGGCTTGGCATTTAGCATCTCTAACTTTGCCTGGATAGAGGCCACTAGTCCACTTTTGCTTCTTAGGCCCTGGTTTGGTTTTCACCGTTTGCCTGATGATCTGGATAAGGGAAGCAATATTAATTTTGGTGTCCTGATAGATACGGAAAAGCCATTCCGGGTTGCTGCAACACAGGTGCCGGGAAACCTCATTGCTCTTAATAATGCGATCTTGTTCTGCTTTGTCTAAGTGGGCAATTCCTCCTTGATCCCAGGGTCTGTCTGGATAAGTCACAGTATTCCCCTTTTCAGTGTTTTGCCATGAAATATACTGAAGATCCATGCCAGGAAGGGTAGATAATGTCTTGTAAGGGGTGTAATGTTCAGGATTTATAGCAAAAGGGAAGAGTTCCACAACAGTGGCTCCTCTTGGCAGAAAGAGAGACATCACAAGTTGAGCTCCATGCATGCTGACAAGCATGGATGCATTGCTAATCAAGCGTACTATTTCTGAAAATGTATGGTCTTCTATGGAAACAGTAATGGTTTTCATCTGAAATTCTTGGGCAAGTGCCAAAATTAGCTCTGCCTCATTTAGGATTAGTCTATTGATGGTTCGGCTGAATACTATTATATATTCCTCACCAGGTATTCCTTCCAAGCTCACATTTAGCCTCTTCATCATGAATGTTTTGAACTGTCGGATCTCATTGCCAGAGACCAAGATGTTGGCTTTCGGCCCCTGGGGCTGAACAAAACCATATTGATACCAGGTTGTGATTTTAGACAGACCCACGTATGATTTGGTGAAACACAGGAGCCGCCCAAGTGTTTTAAGCTGCTCTCTTAGGAGTGGTTGCTTGCTGCTAAGCAATTTGTATAGCTCAAAGTGTAGTCCTTCACCCCAGCCTTCCATGAAGAACAATCTGGTCTCCAAATCCAAATCTGGAAACTGCTGCATTGTATAGAAAATTGGAAGGAGATCATCATGGAAAACATGCATCAAATTATCTGGATTAAACCTATTCATAATCAGTGCTACATCAGGAACAAAAACAGGCTTTGGCATAAATTTCAGAGCTGCAGCTGGTAGTTCTACAAAATTGAAATACTGGGTATTATGGTCCTCCACTGAGGAGAGATCAAGTAGGGCAGGCTGAAATCTTCTGGAGCCCAAGTTTGGAAGCATAACAGAAGAACTGCTATGGAAGAAGACAAATTCCTCAGCTTCGGTAGAATAACAGAGAGACTCAAAACGGCATATACGGTCAGTGTGCATCCTGCCAGTACACACCATTTTGGTGCCATCTTCTACCAGAGCTTGAAGTGCGACATGATAGTCAATGCTGACCTGAGAGATTTCCTGGGACTGACGCATGAGGACTAACTCCTCTTCCAGCACAAAGACATGATCATGCAGCTTGATATACTTCCACAGCACAGCAGCAAGGACACACACTAGCAAGGCGTTAAATACTGCTGCTATGTTCATTCTGGACCCAGGTCCTAGCAAGTAGGTAGGTGGTAAACACTAAGGAAGAGGGATGCATTCTCAGTCTTCTTTATCATAATGGAGCAGAGACCTAAAAAAATAAAGTAAGAGCAAAAACAGTTATGGTTATAACAGTCCTCTAAAATTTATTATGTTGTTGTGTAGGAATAATGGCTAATCTCCATCTTACATTACAGACTAATACTGTAGATGCTACATACCAGCAAACAATTTCTGCACTTAAAGTACTCATATTAAACTTTATTCATGGACACTTTTATGAAAGAAGGTATATGTATAGCCTCATTGATCTTCTTTTATCAAAAACTGATTATGTGATTTGTTTTTATTTTTGTATCTTATTTCTTTCAGCAAAAAAAAAAAAAAACAGCAGGGAAAAAAGAAGACTCTTTTGAGTTTCAGTGTGACATATGACCACTTATGTATGTATAGAATTACTGCCTAATGGACATGTCAGTCCAACATAAACATTTTATAACTCTAACCCTGCATCCATCACATCAGTGCCAAGAAACTGCAAAGAATCTATTGCAGAAGGACCTGTAGGATCCAAGTAAGAAATTGAGTCTCCTTTGTTTTCAAATTATGAGAATGTTTTAAAATAGTCACCCAAAGATAAGATTGGGCTTTTGAGCATATGCACTAAAATAAACCCTCCCCCCAAAATAAGCCCTCCCCAAAAATATTGCAACACAGCAGCAACCATGAGGTGACCATGCTCGCCACCTCCTGCACCTCAAAAATAATAAGACACCCCCCCTCCCCAGTTAGAGGCTGGGGTTTTTGAAACAACGTAGCTCTTTTCTTTCCTTATTTGACTTCACTAACTTTGTAGCTGAAGGGTTTGCAACTTGTTTACAGAAACTGATAAAGAACCAAGGGCATGGATTGTTTTCACAGGTGCCTCTGAGAATTATTTTGGCAGGGGAAAGAAAGAAAGGGGGGGGACAGAACCCTTCTCCTTTGAAGAGCATAAAAGAACTTGTGTTCAAGTCAATCTAAAATAAAAAATAAAAGAGGCCTGGAAGGCTAGAGTGGCAGTCGCTATTAGTTTTTTTTCTTTTTTCTTTTCCTTTCTTCTGTTTTGGAAACATGGATCAATATTCAGATGAGGAAACCTTAAAATTCCAAAATAT